AGGGCATTCTCCACTCCTGTTCTTACGGTTACCAAACCCACACTAACACGGCTCGCTGGAGTCTTGCTTGTGTTAGCTCTGCAGGACTGGGTCACTATCAGAGTAATGAATGTTTGGTACAATCTTTTCCAGAGAAATCCCTTTACAACAGAATAGATGGGGTTCAGGGGTAAGCTTACAACTACCTAGATACACTTGCAAAGTTTAGTACATTTTCCCTATGAAAGCTTTAGAACTCGTACGATTTTACAGACAATACTGCACACAGAAAATTAAAACGACCTTATTTTCATTTATCCTGGTTTTAAGCTTTTTTGATGATGTAGTGTTTCTTGTTTAGTTTCCTTCATTTATAAACTTTCAAGAAGTAATCAAATAAATCCACAAAAGTACGTAAAATGATTGTTCTCTAAACCAAAATGTGACTCAGTTGTCTAGAGGAGACAGCTGAAATACTCATGACCTCCTCTTCACCTCCATCCCCCGAGCAGGAACACTCTAGGTTGCCAACACTTGTCCTTCCCTCCACACAGGTCACATAAATGCTTCATTGCTTTGCAGGCTCAGCAGATACTGTGGCTCAGTGTCCCCTGACTGTACCCGAGGTGCTGTCCATTATACTCTGGTTGAGCCCAGAAGTGAAGCGTCCCCTGCCATTGCATCCAATAGTACCTTACACCTTTTGAAGTACGTACGCATGCTTTGAAACTCCAGAAAAACGTGATCCAAATTCTTGTGCCTGAATCCAGGTCTGGGGTCCCCAGCACAAGACAGACATGGAGCTCTTAGATCAGGTCCAGAGGAGGGGAACAAAAATGGTCAAAGGCTGGAGCACCTCCCGTACGAGGACAGGCTGAGAGAGTTGGGGTTGCTCAGCCTGGAGAAGAGAAGGCTCCGGGGAGACCTTACAGCAGCCCTTCAGTAAGTAAAGGGGACTTATAAGAAAGATGGAGAGACTTTTTATGCTTGTCACATCGTTACCTGAACAGTAAGGCCCAGTCGAGTCCAAAGCAAACCCAGCAGGGCACTGATTGCTACGGTCTCCTGTAAGGTAAAGGAAGCACATGTTACTTGCAGATGAAAATATGGCCATTTTATTACTTTTAAAAAATCCTAGAACATTAAGAATTGCAGCCCAGCTATTTATAAAAGCTTTATTATACTTGGACACTAAAAGAGAAACTTTTAAAATCCAGACTAGCGGTTTTTGGGCACTAAGTCAGGAGTACATGGGTTTTGCCGTTTTGAAAAAAACAAAACAAAACAAAACAGGTTGGGGGTTTCCCTCAGAGTGACTGCAAATTGCATCCCAGCCTAATACATCCTGGAAAGTTCCCCCATACAGTTTTAATTATTAAAAGAATAAAGACCATTCCATTTCATGTCACGTAAAAGGAGGGAAATAAACCCAAACTAAACAAAGCACCATGTCATAGATTGTGGGAAGTCACTGGAGAACACAAGTGCGTACTATGAACTGTAATGGAAAACGCTGGTAGAGACTGCTCAAAGAGCACATGTATTTTGCTGCTTGAAAATTGATTCAATAAATATGAAATCTTAAACAGAGCAGGACATTAATTGCTGGAGGAAATAAACGCAAGTTTGGCCAGATTTATGCATAGGCATAACTTGATCTGGAGCTTTTATCAGATCTCATTTTAAAATGGAAAAAGAAGTCTTATTTGTCTTTCAAATTAAACAATGGTCTGACAAGTAGGAAAAACCATTATTTTACTTCATTAGGATGCTGCTACTGAAAAGAAAGACTGAGATAGGCGATCCTACTGTTTCATTTACTTTCAAACCTGAGTTATTTCATTTGAAAGATGATGTTAATCTTTCCTGTGTAAAAAAAGCCCAAATGGCATAGAAAAAGCTAACAGGACATTCTGCTAACCAATTATGACTTCTCAAAGGTAGTCCCCATGCCCTGTTCCTTAAGATCACTTAGGTAAAAGGTTAACGAAAGCCAGCAGTTAGTAGTGCTCAGACACACTAGCTGATGGAGCTACCAGCTTGCTGCCTCCGAGTTGGGAACTCACCAGATTTACAGATCGTACATAAGCACGTGTCTGCACAGCTCTGCATTCATATTTGCCCGTAAGAACATATCCAAAAAGTACCAGTAAAGTATTCAAGCTGCAGCTCAGCATTGTATTTTCTGTATATACCAAGCCATTCCAAACACATTCAATCTGAGGAATGACTTAGGACATTTCACCCATGTTAGTGCTGAATTTTGCATGTTCTTCCATCCCTGTAGCCTCATTACTACCTCACTGCACAGTTATGGGGTCTTTGCTGTGAGAAGAAAATATACAATCCCTTTTCTTAATAGCTATGCAAAACCAAACCCCAACAAAAACCCCACCAACACTTGACCGCACACAAAAGCAACAGTAATTTCATTTTAGAGAATGAAATGTATGTGGAAGGAAATTGAGAAATATTTTAGGTTGACTATCTGAAGCTACTGGTGATGCTCTTAGCAGTGTCAGCAAATGTGGACGTACATCACCGATGAGACCTACAGGTGAAGAGTAAGTACAAAGGGCAACAGCTTTTACATATTCGTCTATGGTATATTAACAAGACATATAGGTCCCGGGATCTATATAAAGTTAGCTAATTTTCACTGCATTTTCCCTTTCAAGGCCATAACCAGCTTTTGAGAATATAGGTGATGAGTGCTGGGAAAATAAGATATTGTTTTTCCATTATTTTATTTTTGTGAAGAATTCAAACAATACCTTTTGCAATAGAAGCGTGGATTTTAAAAGCCACAGTTTCTTCCAGTGGGTTGTACTCTGTTGTAACAGAGGAAGCATGGAGTGTTTCCACCAAGAAAGGCATTTTTCCTTTAGTGTAATCATAGGTGATGGTGTGGTTCCACGTGTCGGGAACACTGACTCCATCTACGGCGAAGAGACGAGTAGAATGGGCGTACAGTTGCCCCGGGCCAGTTTGAATATAATCTTCAGTGTAATCCTAAAAAGAATAAGATTCAGGCATCAGCCACTGTGGTCTTCGTATGTAGTAGGAGGAGATGTTTTCTGAGAAAGATTTTTTTTCCTTAACAGCTGAACAAACTGTATTTCATACAAGTGTCTTTTTTACTCTTATTTAAAGCGTTGAATCTTAACAGCACCCAGTATATTCAGGCTGTGGGTACTGAGGAATCTGATGATAAGCATTTCTTAAAAAACTGAAAATGATCTTACTGTCCAGGAACCATCTTTTGAGGTCTAAATATTTTTTTGCATTCTAAGTCAGATGCTGACAACGTCTTAAGTAATCAGTAGAGAAAAAATCTGCCACTGAAAAAGGTATAAATATTGGACATGCTACATACTGCAGTAGATCAAAATATCAACTTTAGGTATATTTGTTGTACTGTGGGGTGAATATATTAAAACGAGATTATAACCTTTTGCCATATGAAGATGCAAACTGCCCTCTCTAATCATTCCTGACACAGTCATAGAGAAAAAAAAATTGATTTGAAAAAGCAAATTCTGTGCAATAATTCAGATGAATTCCATAATAGGACTGTTTCCCATGACAGGTGTCTCCACAAGACAAAGTTCTGATGCAGTAGCAGAGAAAGGAGCCCATCACTAACAGCATCACAACAGTGCGCGTGGTAAGAACATCTAAAATACCCTGTGATGTAATCTGAGTCAGAGTTTGTTAATCCTCTGTCTTTGCAACTTTATCAGCCACAGGAATATTTCTCTGCCAGACTACGTATATATTTGTAGCTGCAAACAAATCATCAGCAATATTCAGACATTTTTGCAAGGTGCCATGGCATAAGAGAGATGGTGCCATCCTCAGGGAAGCCAAGAAGCCAGGCAGGTTTAAGACGCACCTTTATAGCTCTGTTAAAAGCAACACCCGACCTGCCTGCCTGGGATAACTACCCCCAAAGACACTTTTCAATATTGCCTTCTAACATCTAAAAACCTTGAGTGACTGATACTGCCTTCCTGACGACCATTTCTAGCTTTCAAAGGCAATGTTAATGTCTGTCAGTTAAACCAGGCACAAAGTGAAACAGTTTTCAGGAGCCAGTGTCTGCTGCTTTAATGGAGATGAGAGAGGAAAAGTGCGCATCACTGAGAGAAGGGGGTGGTATCTCAACAGCTTTACCTTCACATTAACATCAGCTATCGACTGGAGCTGCAGCACGTGGCCACTCACAACAACATCCAGCAGCAAGGCTCCATCTGAATCCAAGCCCCGGGCAACATGAGTCATTCGCAGAATCTCACCTATGAATTTTGAGAGCATGTTGATTTATGAAACATCCTAACCAGAGACTCGCGTTGGCCACACAGGATCTGAGTTGGGACCACTTGACCAGTTATTTTACACTGATATTTTTATATTTTTATATTTTTTTCTGGGCCTCAGAAAGCCCCAGTCATTCAGAAAACACTGACGTAAGCACAGATCTCAAAATTCAGCATTGATTACGTGGTATTTTTTAAGGAACGCAGTATCTGTAAAGCTTATTGGAAACAGGAAGAGATGGATTATCACAGGTAACCAACCTGTTGCAAACTCCACTTGAGTTTCTCTCTTGAAGACGGCGTCAGTGAGCGTAAACCCATTCATTGCTTCTCCAATTTCTTTTGCAGTTGTCCAGTAAACTGGGCTGAGTATAGAAACAAGCTTTCTCATCGCTGGACCTGAAAGAAACGCGACATAACATTTGAGAGCTTTCTTCCTGACATCACACGACCCAGATCAGTAGGGGTTGAATATGAAGACCTAATGCTAGTGTAACTCTTAAGATTTAAACCAGAATAAAATATGTATTGGTGTATTCAGAGGAATCATTTTACACATACTAATGTACTAGAAGTAAATATTGAAGATTCCCTTTTTCTCTCTGTCCATTAAAAGTTTAGATCATTTTCTTCAGTGACACTTAATAAAATGAAGTGGTAAAAACTGACATGGCACAGAGCTCAGCCTGCCTCAAGGAAAAAAGTTATAAGAAGTAAAAAAAGCCTACCGAGGCTCCGAGGGACGTTTGTAATCTTTGCTTGTATTACTCTAGTTTCAGAGTCGGGGCTGTCTGTCACTGTGGCATTCAGGAACGCAATTCCAAATTCAATATCGTTGATGTTTCCAATGACGCTGCCTTTGGCACGGGAAGGCCCCCCTGCACAGGGACGGGAGGAAGGAAAAAAAGCCCCACGTGAAAACTGCTGTCTGAGATTTTGGGGGAGAGAAAATTCAGAAATATTGTCCAGCATTTGGAGTAGTAAGAATATGTCTGCAGCTATTACTGCGTTATTTGCAAGAGTAAAGCTCAACCTGCAAATACCAGGAGGCTGTGTACATGTGATCTGAGATACATGCACAACAACACAGGAATCAACTTCTGCGCTCCCCTCTGTCTGAAAAGCAGCAGTTGTTGAACAGCACACTCTAGTGCTATGTAACAGGTTAACAAACAATTTATCCAGCTGAAGTTGCAGGACAGATTTAGGCCAAAAAAAATTAAATTACTTGTTCAGCTGGCCAAGAGATGGGAGATCACCAGTCAGATTAGGAGTGCTGCACGCTTCTACCACATGGCCATTGCGTGCGGGCTGTCAGTTAACTCACCAGGACATGCTTGGGTGTTACACCTGGATACCTGGGAGGAGTCTCCAGGACAAGGACGTCCACGATTTAACGGTGCTGGATTGCTGCACAGGCGTGTCCGGGTCTGCTCCCCTCCTCCACAGGAAGCAGAGCACTGGCTCCATGGTTGCCACTGACCCCAGTTTCCATCCACTGAAGAGAGAAAGAATGAAGAAAGCAACTTTTCATTTTAAATGTTTCAGGCTACATCAGTGGTGCTTCGGTGGTGTTCTGTCTTGGTGGAACCAACGTGAGGGAGAACAGAAATAGCTAAAAGCATGACAACACCACCATAGTGGGCAGGCGTGAACGCTTTCCCCTCAGAAACACACCACCTTTAAAACTGTGTTTGTATGCTGTACGGAGACAAGGAGGCTCCTCCAGGAGATGTTGCCAGGGTAACTGATTTAGCAAGAGCTGGCTCAAATTCTTCCCTCTGTCCTGTTGAAGAGGTACCACTTCACGGCTGCCCAGGGCAGCTTTGTGCAGTGTGAGCTGCACGTGTCGCTCTGCACAATCCTGCAAGTCCTCCCCAAGGACAAAGAAATTATCTGAGATTGCATGGGTATAAAACTGACGGAAACCAAACAAACCACAAATCTTGCAAATAAAAACACACGTTCTATCTATCCAGACACTCCCAAGAGGTCAGCGAGAGCTGGCTCGAAGTGCACGTGTGCAGGAGTCTGGCACAGCCTCCTCTTGGCAGCACGGCCTCGGCAGCCAGCGCTGGGACAAGAGGACCGTGACTGCGCACTGTGTGAACACGGTGTCTGGAAATGCCTGATCCCATACATTTGCCCCAAACTGGCAACGGTAAGAGGAAAGGAACAATGAAAAAAGTTTGCTTAAGACAACCATTAGCCACACTTAACATCAACAAGGGAACTGAAGCGTACAAAAACCAGCAAGAAAATCTGTGATTGGGGAGGATAAACCCAAGCAAAAGCAGAGTCAGCAAGGAACAACTGGACTGGGCTTGACACTGCAACCTCCATCAAGGCCTGACGGAGAATTGTCCTCACAGGTCATGAGCTCGTGGGGGCTGACGGTTCCAGGTGCAGCAAGCAGAGGCCCACACCATGTGGCCTCCTCAGGGATGTCACCAGCGGGTGGGTCAGCAGGTGTTGAGCGTGGCACAGGTGTGCACAGAGTTGGAGTTCCTGCATCTCCCACAGGAGGAGGGTGTGTGATGGGGTGCGCATAGAGGAGGGATTTAATAATTTAAAAAATTATTGTATCAAAATTAATCTAACATAATAATCCCTTTTCTGAGATGAGTTATAAAATGGTGGTTAGAAATCTGTAGGTGTTTAGTAAGCCTCTAGCGTTGTGGTTTATCCGCTGCATTGCTGATATTGATCCTGAATGTGGAAGCTCACCAAGTGCCTCTTGGTTATATATTGTCAATAAATCAAGTGCTTTGACTGTCATTTTATTTCGGGCGTTTGAGCTGAGTGTTCTTCCCTGCTCCTGGAATACATTATGAGAGTTCACTGGGAGCCTCATAAACTGTATGTCCTGTAAAAACTAAGAACTGCTAGGTGTAGGAGAGATTCTCATACGCTATTTCCTGTTTGGAACTATTCCACCTCATTTTGGAGAAATCTAACATGCGAAGGGGGAAATCCTTGTAAGGTGACAGTCCTTTAAAGAAAAAAGGGAGAGTGGGTTACTAGATTGTATGAAACTGTAAGCAATTGTAAGAATGTTCTACATTGCTTTCATACCATGAAAATCTCACATAGGTTCTGTATCCCCTGAAGTCTCCCAGGGAAAGCTGCATTTAATTTCTCTGTTAGGCAGAGCACTCACCGGGGCACAGCTCAGTGCTGCATCTCTGGATCTGCATGTCAGCCCCTGCACACGCCCTTCCACCGCTGGCAGGGTGAGGATTGTCACAGGTCCGGTATCGCCTCATCTGGCCTCCGTTGCATGTTCGACTACAAGTTCCCCAGCTACTCCATGGGCCCCAGTTGCCATGAACTGTAAAAAAAAAAAAAGTCAGATTTTATCTCTCTTCCTCTGAATAACAGATACTTAAAACCAGACAGTCAAGCTAGGAAAATATTCCTATTGAGAGTAACTTTTTTCAAAAAACACAGACAAAGATCTAAGATCCTGTTCAGCATTCAGCGATTTCTCAGAGAATATTAACCAACTCACCAACTCCAGAATGTTGTCATTCATCATTCATACAAAAGTATGCAGGATACTATTAACCAAGGGAGTCACTACACATGACTGTGAGATAGAGAGATTCCCTTTCAATCCTTTCTGATGGGACAGCTGTAATTTCAGAGAGGTGTACGACCTCTGACAGTCCAGCAGGACCTTATGCACCAGCTGCTACTGGCTTGTGCTCCTAACTGTTAATGTTCAGACTGTCCCAGCCATGCTGACTAACGAAGAGAAGCTCCCACTCTTGCCAGGCAGCTAGTACCACCTGCCTGTGTTCAGACCCCCTAACTTTCGTAGGAGTGGGTGATCTGTGCAGCGCTCTCCTTCCTCTCGTGTACATACGAACCCAGGAAGTGGATAAGCAGCCAGACCTCAAGCACTTACTTGGACAAGGATCACTGTTGCAAAAATCAATTTGTATGTCATTTCCTTCACATTTGTGACCCCCAAACTGCGGGGCTGGGTCTGAGCAGTGGCGCGTCCTCTGCCTGCTGCCTCCTCCACAGGACACGGTGCAGGCGCTCCAGCTGCTCCAGGTCGCCCACTTCCCGTCCACTGGTGAGAAAGGCACAGCACGGCATGGTTACAGTCTCCGACATTAGAAACAACACAGCAAATCAGCACTGGATCAGGGAACAACTGACTGTAGGATGTTACTGACTCTCTCTGTAGAGCATCTCGGCTACACAGGGATTCCTACAGAGGGGTTTCCAGGAGTGAAACTGGAGAAAGGCATGATCTGTCTTTTAAAAAACCTGTAAGCCTGACCAGAATCACCGTCAGGGGTCACTCCGTCCTCAGGCTCAGCCCCTCTCACATTTTCAGTATCTGTAAGCAAGTCAAACCATAGCAGTCCCTGAAATTACCACACTGGGCAGATGGCCAGAACGAGCGCCATCACACAAACCCAGTCTCCACTTGTGCATCCTCTGGTTGCAGCTGCGCTGCCTGAAGAGGTAACCGTCACCACCTTCTCCCCATTCCTTCCTCACCAGCTCTGATTTACTGGCTCAGCAGTTTTATAGAGTGGTTCCTAAGTTATCTCACGAGCCAGGTTTAAGCAGTTGAACAGCAGAGCCTTTGATCTCCCACGACGTGGTGGCACAAACTGTTCAAAGTACCTCTGTGTGAGCCCTGGAGCTGGTGGCTGAGAAGAGGCTGATTAGTCCCAAAGCAGCGGTGAGTGGCAGCATCCTCAGCAGCAGCACACGGAGCCCGAGAGATGGGCAACATCAAGCCCTTAGCTGCTCAACTACCACAATGTCTGTTCTCTCTCTACCAGTTGATAGTTATGGTGAGGACTCGGCGTAGGATCTGGCATGTGCAAAATGGAGCACGAAGCCAGAAGGATCTCGTTTGAACTGCTGCACATTAAATTTCCCTTCGTTACCCCTGCACTCAGCCAAGTACAGAGGTCACATTTCAAAAACATGAGTTTTCCTATCCAGTCATGAAGGACTCATTGAAATGTGAAAGAAAAGGATAAATTAATAACAGAACCTAGGAAAACTTTTAAAAAGAAACATTCAGGAAACCTGTAATTTAACTGCTGTGGATTTAAAATGCTGCTTTTGCCTAGTGCCAGGGTAAAGGAAGAGGGACAAGGATAGGAGAAGTCTCCTATGTTAGGTCTGTAGAGGGATGCCAAAGATAGTGACAGGGCCAGTGACAATAAACGGCTTGAATGGAATTCTTTCAGGGACTACACTTTTAGAACTGTAAAGCTTTTGATATAAATTAAGTAGAATTTGGAAAGGAAATGACAAGTCTGTCATTGTTCTCCTTGTGTCCAATGCATCTTACCTGGGCAGCGCCTCTTGTTGCAAACCTGCATCTGTGCGTCCGTGCCCTCGCAGTACGACCCGTCGTGTGAGGGAGGGGGGTTATTGCAGAGCCTCAGGCGTGTCTGAGTCCCTTTCCCGCAAGTCTCGCTGCAAGGACCCCATGGCAGCCAAGAACTCCACTCACCATCAACTGCAAAGGCAGCAGAGCTATAAAACTGTTTAAACTCCGCAGCTGCTTTAACTTGAACGTACAGCTCCACACCCTAAGGCAAAAAAGCTTCGTTGTTTAATATCAATAAATGAAATATCCTGAATAAGCCCTTGAAAAAAATCTTTGCCTTGGGCAACAGCTGAAACAGATTCCCAGTTTCCAAAAGAGAGATTAATTCTTTCCTTTTTTTTTTTTTGAATACTTCACTTCCCCTGACCACAGTTTTGGAATAACAGAACCGAACTCTTGCCCAAATGGGGTGTTTTCATTAGTGACCTGGCTGCGCCGGTGCTGTGCTGGAGGGCTCAGCAGGGAAGGGGCATGCTAGCTACGGGCTGGCTCACAGCTTCAGTGGCTACCAGTAAGCAGGAGCCAGAACTGATTTTGTTGCCAAGATCTAGAGAAATTAACCTCTAGATGGTAGATGTACATTTAGTATTTGTGGTGGTAGCAAAGCTGTTGAAAAAGGGAAAAATCAATATAATAAAAATTGTATAGAAGGCAACATGCCAGTGGGGAAGGGTTATGAATCAACTACAACCTGTCAAACATGGGAAGTACTACCAAGAGGAAGGAAACGTGAACATTCAGGCTAGTTAGGAGAAAGATGTGGCTGAAAATTAAAAAAAAAAAACACAGAGGAAAACATACTGAAAATATCTGAAATTATTAGTTACTATGTTTTACAGGGCTTTTTAATAGGGTGGGTTTTTTCATTTTAATTGGCTTTACATGATAGATTTAGAGTAGTGAGGTTTACTCTGTGAGCACATGGGTAACCAATACTGAAAAACACCAAAATATTTTTTATTGGAGGTGGGAGAGTTGCTGAAAATTTTCCTGGCACTTATTTTTGTGGCTTCTGTCTGCCACTCAATACATTACAAGCAATGATAAAATAAAAAAAAACTTCAAAGTTTAATTCTTTTGTAATTTAATGATCTGAAACAAGCTGAGAGAATTCGGGTTTAGGAAAAAAAAAAACTATACAGAAAGCCCCTTACGCAACTAATTCTAAATGAATCTTCTCTTACCTGGGCAAGGCCTAATATTACACATGACTGAATCCACAGCACTGCCGTCACAGGGCTTCCCACCATGCTGAGCTGGGGGGTTACTGCAGGTTCTGGTTCTGGTCCTGTTACCTTGCCCGCAGCTCTTTGAACACTCTTCCCATAGCCCCCACTCTGACCAGTTGCCATCCACTAAGAAAGAGAAAACCCCACAGTTTTAATTAAAAATTATTTTTGCAGTATTTATTGAAATTTCCCCTTCCTTTCCACAAAAGTCAAAATGATTTGCAATTTCTTAGAAAAAATAATCAGTGACAAAGATCCATGGTGATAACGGTTCACTGTTAGGACACTTTACACAAGGCACATTAAAAGCATCAATTAAAGAAGTACCTGGACATGGCTTGTTGTGGCAGCTGCGTACGTCTGTATCGGGCCCCTCACACCTCCTCCCCCCGTTTGCTGGAAGAGGGTTGTTGCACTGACGGACTCGCTCCTGAACACCTTGACCGCAAGTGACGCTGCAAGGTCGCCATTCGAGCCAGTCAGAAAATCCACCGTGCACTGCAACAGGAAAAGTGACGCTCTGTGACGTGCCTGTGCTTAGAACTCTCTTAGGCTGACACAGCAAAGTGAAAAATGCGCTTCAGAAGCCAGACTTGGAAATTCAACTCACTTCATGTCTTCATTACTGTAGTAATACCTGACTACAGCTCAGAGGATACTCCAGCTGCTCTGCAACAGTTAGTGCTTATGCTCCTAAATGTCCTTCCTTAGAGGTACAATTGAGTTCTGATACGTGTTCTGAGGATGGGATCTAGTTCAAGGCCATTTCATCATTATTTATGTCCCTCGCTCCTTTACACTCATCTGTCTCACACAGCTGGATGAGTAAAATGGAATAAAATTTCAGGAAACAGAAACCCCCTGACATCTCAGACTAGGCTTAACAGGTACCTAGTGCGTATACGGAAGATAAGATAAAATATCCATACTTTATGGATAAGATAAAATCTTCATCATATTTATTCTCAATGCTGTAATCTACCAGCTAGATAGTCGCCGTCCCATCTTTTGTGCACCTACCCTGGACAGTCAGAGGGACTCTAACAAGAACAGATCCCATTAGATTCCTCGCTACACACTCGTATTCAGACGTGTCTTCCTTCCGCGCTGCAACGATGCGCAAGGAGCCATTAGACAGGACAGTCACTCTCTCATCGCTCACAACGGGATGACCTTGGCGGGACCATTTGATGGTTGGAGGAGGCTCCCCATGTGCCTGGCAGTTCAGCATTGCTGTGGCACCAGCTTCAATAACTGTCTCTGCAGGTTCAACAGTAATGACTGGAGGACCTGAAGGAGAAAGGTTTCTTTAGGCAATAGCACATGGTTATGTTTTTTCCGGCATATTGAATATTTAAGGTCTGGTCAGAACGAGGGCAAAAAAAAAAAATCTTAAGTCAGTTTACTTTGACTATAATTATTATTATTGATCTTCCACTGTCAAAACAGATGCTAGTTAAAATGACAATGATGGGCTGTTTTCAATACGCAGCAACCTGAGGACCAAAGCTGGGGTTAAGGCCTGACTATATGAGCACATGGTCTTCTCTACTGCCAAAATGTTGCTTTTCATTAAACTGCAGGAAGATGCTATTAATCATGTTGAGAGGCAACTGAGACATAAGTAACAGATCCATACTGCTTGAGGCTATAATAGAAAAGGGATGTTTAGAAATTCTACGACTAGTGAAGAAATAATTCTAAAATATTATTTCTGCCAAAATAAAATACTGTCAGTGAAAGCTGAGATTCATCTCACATAACTTGCTTAATTTAAATTTAAGAGTCTAGTTTAATGCAGTGGTATAATCATCCTCTTTAGTCAACTGAGGAAAACAGGCCCTTTCGGAAGGGGATTCACCCCACTCTAAGTTGGTTTCTACATTCTTCTGTTCTTTAACCTCAATCACTGGCTTAGACTAGACTCTTAAATATTAATGATGAGATTAATCTTAACCTACAGTGCTGTGCCCAACCTCTGGAACTTCAATGGGAGCTGCATACACCTATCCACACATAGATTAGCGCTCCAATCTCATGGTGTTAAACTCATCACTTTGAGTCTTACTCTGAAGCGTTAGCGTCAGACTGCGTTCCACCACACCAGCATCGTTGGTTGCCACGCACTTGTAGTCACCAGCATCTTCATTCTAAAGAACAAAAAGCAAATAGTCAACACGTATGTACTGAGGGTTTCTGTTTACAGTGCACCTCCTGTAAGTGAGTCTTCTGCAACACAACATGGCGTGCCCTGGATCTTAAGAGGCACGCTCTTAGATTCTAGAGCACCTCAACATTTTGCCTCTATTAACATTAACCTGATGCTGTGATTTATTTTCATTATTCCATTTATTTCTTTCAACTCTTTAATGCTGAGGATCAAAACTTAAATGAACTCAAGGGACCTACTGTTTTTAACCCCATTTCAAAATGCAGACATGAGGTTATGAGGCAAAAAGGGGGTCTTGCCATTCATATGAAGAATTCAGAAACCAGGAGATTTACACATGGAGAACACAACTGCTTTTCAGCTGACCTGACTTTGTAGAACCCAGGCTCTTTTAAGGTCAAAAGCAAAAGTCCCATTTAATTGGGCAGAACCAGGATTTCACACACCAACAATTAGTATGTAGATTCAGTTCTTCTGACAATTAAAGAAAACAATAATCCCCTGGGGGGTTTTGTCACAATAATTTGAGTCTAACTGTAGTCTGAATTAAACCAACATTCGTTAAAGGTAAAAGCAGAAGTGGGTTAAATGTCTAGCTTCAAACAATATGATCTGGAATGCCTTTGTTAATCAAGTACAATGCAGAAACACATTGTAACAGACCAGTGACTCACTACAGTCCCGTAGATAGCAAGAGAACCATTGTTAAGCTGTCGGATCCTGTTGCTGATCTGCACACCAACTCCTTTTTTGCTCCACTGGATGGTTGGAGGTGGATCTCCTCTGACTTCACAATTCAACATAGCGTTGCCACCTAAGGGCTCAATTCGGCTTGAGTGGTAATCCCCTTTGAAGACTGGAGGCTCTGAAAAGACAAGTGATGGCAAAGAAATAGAAGAGTCAAAATGCCCTTAATTAAATTGTTGGTGGGGATCATTCATTCCTGACTTTAAGACTTTCTGAAGTGTGAATTTCAACCTTTCAATTTTTTTTCCATTTAGTCATAGACAAAGTATCAAGTACTAGGGGTAACATTTTTACGCTGAAAAAGGGGAGATTTAGGTATTAGGAAGGAATGTTTTCCTGTGCAGGGGGTGAGGCAGTGGCCCAGGTTGCCCAGAGAAGCTGTGGATGCCCCATCCCTGGAGGGGTTCAAGGCCAGGCTGGATGAGGCTTTGAGCAACCTGGGCTGGTGGGAGGTGTCCCTGCCCATGGCAGGGGGGTTGCAACTCGATGAGGGTTAAGGTCCTTTCCAACCCAAACCATTCTGTGATTCCATAATTCTACTCTCAAAACAGATGGCTGTGTGAAACTGTCCAGTAGTGACCACCACCACTGGTATTTTACGTACCTTTGACATACACAAAACCAATAGCTTTGATTGAGCCGACTGTGTTTTCTGCTGTGCATACGTAGGTACCAGAGTCATCTTTAGATACTCTTTCAATAACAAGCTCGCTGTGTCCATTTACATCATCGTACTGCGCTGAAGGGAGAACACACAGTAAAGGGTTACTGCAGTGATTTTAAACATATACATCTCAGTGACTAGTATGTCATAAGTCTGAATTACAGTGCTAGTCAGCAACACAGCTCAATGGCACCAGGCCACTTCATTTCTGAGACACCTCAGAAACGCACAGAAAGTCACTGCTATGACATTTGCCCACAGCTTGCATTCACTTAAGTTGTCCCTTAATTTCGAGCTTTGTGCATCTGCATTCTATGAACCACTGAGGTTTTCTTCATATATGAGAGAAAAAGCACTAGTTGTTGGACGCTGAATAAATATCATCAGATAAGGAATGTTTTTAATGTGCTACACTATTGGCTACAGAAGAGGAGCAATTTCTTCATTATCCTCCTTACAGCTTTCTCTCAGAGGCAATTTACCACATGATTGCACAATACTGAAGATATTCCTCACACGATCACTGCCTAAACAAGTTTGTTCTCTCTAGATTTTTTTTTCTTCCTTTTCCTAAACTAATTGCAATGCTGCATGGGGGAAAACAACTCTGGAGTGGAATGACCACTGCGACCCGGTGTCACCCACCTGGAATGATGTTATTGTTAAAGGTCCATGTTATTTTGGGCACAGGTATGCCAGTTGCTTTGCAAGTTAATCTGAGCTGTTCTCCTTTAGTCAAAGCTATATCTCCAGGCAGTTCAGTAAAAGCTGGCAGCACGTGAACGATCAGGGTGACAGTGTGGGTGTCTTCTCCAGCAGCATTGTTAGCGATACAGGTGTAACTGCCAGAATCATCAGGCTGAAAGAAAGCACCATGGGGAAATTTCAGCTGTGATCTATCCTACACAACTCTGCCACTTGTAATGAGAGTATCTCAAAATGTTTGGAAGAGGCATTCAACAGAAATGCTCATCTGAACTCTCTTCCTCTACGTTTGAAAGATGACCTAACACACCTTTTTGCTCTTCCTGAGAACTTAATACTACAAATTTTTCACATATATTTTACTCCTCAGTGGAAAATGAAACATTTATAAAGTCTTTGGGACATTAAGAACAAGAAAACAAAATAAAACAAAGACTAATCCAGAAGTGGGTGAAAACGAAGAGCAGTAGGTTCTTATTACTGCCAAACCTCTCAAGTCGTAGCTTAGATTTAGGGAACTTACAACAACATTGTCCAAAATGAGGTCTCCATCTGGCACAGCCCGGTATTTTCCTGCTATCTCTGTTAACAGTGTATCGTCCTTCTTCCAGTGTATTGTTGGTGTTGGAATCCCATCAGCCACACAGGATAGAACAGCCTGGGAGTCCTCTGTGACTGTGTACTGCGCCTCCGTACTGTGAATCTTGGGTGGAACTGTGAGAAGGTTCATTAAAAAGTTTCACCTCTATGTATTATGCAAGCACTACTGTAACAGCATACAATACTGGGCTGAAGAAACGAGTGCCTGGCTCCTCTGTATTATTTCTTGTCTCCTTCAGTGACCACCATCAAGCATGGCAGAGAAATGTGTGAAACGCTTGTAACAAAGTATAAACTGAATTAAGGAAAGGTAATGTTCTGCCTAAATTCAAGCAACTGGCTGATATGACAACCCAATAACACTCACCCACTAAGTAGCACAATTTTCCTGAGCTCTTCCCTTACATCCCAGCTCCTTACCCTCCGTGGGTTCATGCTCTGACAGCGCACATTGTTTCCATACAGTCCCACTTACTGTGCACAGTGAGCTCCGTGCTAGAGCTGCTGGACCCCGCCAGGTTTGCGGCTATGCACGTGTAACGGCCAGTGTCGCCAGGCTGTACAAACACAATCTGCAGCGCACCACTGCTAAGAATTCTTCTTCTAACGGAGTCCGTTATTTGCTGTCCGTCTTTATGCCAACTGATCTCGGGCCCCGGGTAGCCTTCAGCCTCACACTGCAGCGTGACAGACTGATCAACAGGAACAACATATTCTTTGAGGTGTGACTTGATAACAGGAGGAACTGAAAATAATGAAGAAAATTTTTAAAAGAACTGGAAGTTGTAAGCAGCATGGAATGCTTCAGTTCTTAGTGAAAATAATCCTAAAAATCAGATTTTTGGTCCTAATGTAGCCAGACAACTAAAGGGAATAAACCTCCCAGGCTCTATTCAGTGTTGCATCAAATAAGAAAGCATCAGGTCCGTTCCTCTTGCTCAGAATTGTATTTTGACTAACAGAAAGCATGCATACATTTCTGGTCTGTAAATCACTACAAGGGTTTAAAAGTTAATTCACCTTGAACTTTCAGTTTGATCTTCCCCAGAGCAGTGCCAGCTGGATTTTGAGCAACACACATGTAAGTGCCAGCATCTTCAACAGCTGATTTTGCAATCTGTAAACTGCCACTGGGAAGAACCATGTAGTTGTTGCCTAAAACAAATATAAGCAAAGTATGACACAGTTTTGTTTTGCTGTGTGTTCCTTATATGGATTCTTTTTATCTAAATTTGAATATTCAGAAAAGAGAAAATAAGTTTCTGAGTTACAGCAAGTAGGCTGGAGTTAGAGGCTTTAAGAGGATACCCGTTGTGATGATGTTGATGCCCTCCTTTTGCCATGTGATGATGGGTAGAGGTGTACCCGTCGCTTCACATGGTAGTAGAACGGGATTGTTCACAATGACATCCAGTGTCCCTGGCTGAGTCTGGATAACAGGCGGTTCTGTGGAACGAAATAAAAAGCAAAATGCAATAGGTTTAACCTTCAAAGCTAGAAAATACAGAAGATACGAAAAATCACATCAGCTGAGAGTCTGAGAAGGCTGAATTAGCAATGGCTGTATTCTGCCATCCTTACAAAGAGCTCAGTAGAAGTGCTCTTAAATAGAACAAACACGCTTAGCATGAGTATGGGTATAGAATACAGCCTTGCTTCACGCAATTTGCCATCACAGACACCTTTTAACTTACAAAAAGCAAAGAAACAAAAATCTTACAAAAATAAAATAGAGCAGCATGGGCTGGGGGGCTGCGGGGGGCGGGCAGGCCTCTGTTTTAGGTACCAGAGTTGTACCATGCGGAGTAGGGACTTGGTGAATAATCAGTGCATCAGGTGCAAGGCAGTTCAGCTGAGCAGGACACTATGTGTGACAGCCCACTCTGGCCTCACCATTATTCTGCATCACACATATGCATTAAATGGGCACCATTTACTGACAGAATGCCCCTTCTCTTCAGCTTCCCATCTTACCCTGAACGTGAAGAGTGGCGTGTCTGTGAGCCGCGCCAGCTGCGTTCCGGGCCACGCAGGTGTAGCGGCCGGCGTGTGCCAGCTGAGCAGCAGGTATTTCAACAGCACCTGCAGCAGAGAGAGCGCGTCACAACACACAGCAGTATCCTGTATTCACAGTAAAACTCCTACAGCATCCACCTTAAGAGGTCTGTATTTTCATTCAAAGAAACTGGAGATCACTTCTAGATGTGCACAGTTGCACCCTTTCACTGATTTTTCTGCAGCCGAGCTTGTCACACACCGTACCTGAAGAGAGAATTCTGTAGCCATCTCCTCTGGGAAGCAACTTTATGCCGTTTTTGGTCCAATGAACTGAGGGGACAGGAACCCCTGATGCAGTGCAGGAAATCACTACTGGAGACAGCTTTGTTACCAAAAGGTCTGTGGCTTCATCTGCTATGGATGGGGGCACTAAAAATGAAGATCAGTGTAAAGGTTACCTGCCCATTTTCATTTTTATGAATTCTTGTAAATAACTTATGTTTCATGGGAATACCAGAGATTTAGGCGTGTGTCATAAAAGAATGCTCTAAAAAAAATCTCATAATTGGAAATGTCCCAAAGAAATTCTGGGTGCCATACAGATGTAATAGCAATATCCCCTCTACCTTGAACAGTGAGCTCAACTGCTCTTTGATCTTCTCCTGCATCATTTGACACAGAGCACTCATAGACAGCAGTGTCATCCACCGTGGGAGAAATGATTACTAAGGACCCTGAAGATAGAAGTCTGAATAAAGAAAAGAGAATAAAGTAAAAGCCATTTAAATACTTCTTTTCTTCTCACGTAATCAGGCCACTGAATTTGCTGGTTATACAACATTACATTTAAGCATGGCTAGATTTTTAAAGAGACAAAATCATCTGTGAAAACTTTAAACCCACAGTGAAAAGAAAACATCTCTCACCTGTATGTATTCTGGTTCTGGTCAACACTGAGTGGATGCCCATCCTTTTTCCAGCTAATTGCTGGCCTGGGAATTCCAGTGGTTTCACAAGGCAAAGTGGTCTGCACATTTACAGTAACTGTAATGTTTGTATGTCCAGGAGCAATAGTTGGAGGAACTAAGGACAAAAACCGCCAAATTATTCAGCGTAACTATGGGGGGGTATACACATGCACACCACCCTATATCCATATAGAGCTGAACGGCCTGAACACATTTACTTGATTTTTATAAAGAGTAACTTGACAGTAGTAAACTTACTAAACATGTAACATGGGATGTGTCAAGTCTTTCTAGTTCCAGTGCACAAGGAATAAGTATTTTCTTTTCATGAACATTTGGGTTGTATGCCTAACACTGTAATTTTTTTCCTGTTTTGTAACCAGAACAACTAAAAAGGGGCTAAACTTAAAATTGGATCCAGCAAAACAAGACGAATGATGTAACTGGACTTCAGACTTCTATAAACACATATGTTTATCTAAAACCAGAACTTTTACCAAGAACCTGCAGATCAATTCGTTTGCGGTCAGTGCCAGCTGTATTGCTTGCCATACACACATATCTTCCTGTGTCAGTAACATGTGCGGAGTGGATGTGTAGAGATCCATCCTCTAACACGGAATATCTGAAAGAAAGCCATATATTTTTTTCTACTATCCAGTCAATAGAACCATAGGCGATCCCGGTTGTAGAGAAGGAAGAGATGACTCAGGGTACACAACAAACAGCCCAAGCACATGGTATCTTAATTTGGGCACACAGAGTTTTCTCATTTCTTGCACTTATTCTGACTTCATTTCAGCACATCAATTTTCCAGAGATATTATGAAATCTAGCTGACTTAGTGATTCCACATAAATGATGACAGATTTGCAGAAAATATCCAAAAGCCCTTTTTTATGGTTTCTCATTTAACCTTAAAAACCCTTAATGAATGCTTTTGCATTTTCATTTTCCTTGAAATAACTGAATTCTTTACAATTTGCTCAGTTCTGGAAAATTAGACTATTTCCCCTTAAAACAATCAGAAGATAGAAACCAGTCAGTATAATAAAAGTTGATACTAGAACATGTACAGAAAATTTTATATATTAGAAACTACAGAGTACACTCATGTAGCTTTTGATCTGCATGAAATTGCTTGGCTTCATCCCAAAACTCCACATATATATAAAAATATAAAGATCTTTTATGTTTACTGTTCAAAATCTTCAATATGAGAAGAAGAATTATTACATTTGGTTGTCAAAGGATTTTTTTTGTCCTTCTTAACTATAAGAGGATGAAACCTTTAGTACTGCTACAAAAAATTGTTTGTAGAACAGCTTTACATTACTGCTTCTATCACAGTTTTCCACATTTGGGTCTATTCAAGAAGATAGTTCAAATATTTGTTCTGATCTGAGAAAAAAACTAATTAAGCTTTCTGCAACTAATACATTCTTAAAAACCAATGAAGAATATTTATGCTGACTTCTGGAAATACCTCGTATTGCTTCCAGTAAGAACAGCCCCATCCTTCCTCCATGTAATTCTTGGGGTCGGTACCCCTTCTGCAACACACTCCAGAACAGCAGAAGCGTTTATATGCACAGCAGTAGTCTGAGGACTACTTTGGATTGTAGGAGGCACTGTAAAGGGAAAATTCACGACAATATAAGGAAAAAGCTTTACGCTGCATTGACTGAAACTAAACACATGAAAACACAGATACAGTAACAGGTACAGGGAGGACTGCAATGACAGAAACACATTTCTTACCATTTTGTGCAGTGCACGATAATTGCCATGATGCAGTAGGGAATGAAAAAGAAAGTTTGTCTGAAATGCACTGTAAAGATCAGCTTTGCAAGTTACTGCAAAGGTTATCATATAGCTACAACAGTAAAAGAGTTCAGTATATTTAATTCAGCAGAATAACACTATTGTGATATCCTTGCTTCCTAATTATAAACTAAGGAGAAAAATTAATTTTCATTGGACCAGTAAGGGCAGTCATTGGGGCAGCACAGGGTAATGCAGGTACATATGACTGGGTTGTGAACAGAACAGAAATAGGAAAAAAGTTTCTTATCAACACCCAAGTGAGAGAATAGATTATTTTCTCATCAGAGTAGAAGTGAGAAAATAAATAGGTATAAAATGAAACTCAGGCCTGTGGTAGTACAGGACAGGTCTCCAGATGCATGGGGACCTTCAAGCCCTACCTTCCTACTATCTCCTGTTTACAGGGGCAGAGAAGAAGCCACGGTTTTCAATTAACTTGCAAAACTGGTGGCCAAGCCAGATATGAAACCTTGTACCCCATGGTGCCTGTCAAATGCTTTTAAGAATTTCTCTAGACTTGTCCAAGAGCATTTCTCAGTCCTGGATCTGGGTGCTCATTCTGGAGGTATCCTGACTCCAGATCAGGATGATGGCTCGCTGCACAGCACCCTCCATTAGCAGAAAGCACAGACAGGTGGAGAGAGAGCCCTGGTGAGTCCCCAGCCAGTGCTTTAGTGTGGAGGAAACTGAGGACTCAGGTGGTGGCACACACGAGGTAATACACATGGTCCCACTGTTTAGACACAGCCTAAGTGGCCAACGCTTGGCTAGAAAGAGACTAGTCATGCTTCTGTCTTGCCGTTTGAACTCCAGCAGAAACACCATGCAAAGATCAAAATGCACAAGACTGGATCCATGATTTTACCATGTACTGTCAGCATGAACTCCCTGGTCATCTCTCCTGCGATATTACTTGCCACGCATGTATAGCTTGCTGTATCGCTGAGGTCAGCGTTATTGATCTGCAGGTATCGCCCACTGGACAGGATTCGAACTCGAGGAGTTCCCTAAGGGAAAAGAGAGAGAGTTTGACAAATTTAACTTTACCATTGTTTCCTTCATGAAGACAGAACATTCTTCCGTTGCAGAGTAATAAAAGCCATGAAAGAAGGCCAAAGATAAACTGGAGATGGAATTTGTTGCTGGCTGAACTTTGTTTACATCCGATAATATGGTAAACAAAGTTTTAAAAATTTATCATTGCTTAGTGGTTCTCCCTTGAAACCCCTACTTGAACTTGTGCCTGAATAAGACAGCTTTTCTGGGTTACATAGCCAAAGGGGCAGCTAATAACACGTGATGAATTTATTTCTTTTTTTTTTTTAAATTCATGCACACTAGAGGCAGGAGAAATACACTGTTCTTCAAACATCATAGTCTTGATCAGGTGGGAGCCAGCACAAACTTAGCTTACTAAGCTGACTAGCCAGCATTTCTGAATACAGGGATACCACCTGCTCAGCTCTACAGTGACCCTAGAGCACCTGCTAGGGAGCCACTGAAGTCAAAGCTTTTTTATTACAACCAGTCTGGATCAGATCTGCACAAATGACTGACAGTAATATCGACTACAAGTGCTCAAAAACCTGACTGGCTGAAAAACAGTAGAAAAACAACAGAAACTCAAACCTTTCCAGTATGTGCTACCCATATTTTCGGTGAAATTGAAAGCTGACATTCCCATCTGCTCTTTTGGCTAGAAGATCTGAGAACAGCAACTACAAGAGACAGGTGAAACTCCTCTGGTTCTGCACTTCTCTGCACTTGTACCCTAGTGTGCAGGTCTCGTACGAGGCACCAACTCAGCAAGCATACCAACGCAGAAAAAAGAGCAGTGCTGGAGCCTCACAGATGAAATGGATTCGCCACTGGAGTGGACTATAGATTTTGGGTAATAACTGGTGTTTCCTTTTGAGTACACAGCCTTTGCTGTGGTTTCTAAACACAGAAGCATATAGATGACAAGAGACAGGCAATGAAGCTATAATTTAAATCCTTATTGACTACTCAAGGTGTGTCAGAAAACCCATCTTTGGAAAAAATACAAATTCAGCAATTCTTTTAGTGTTTAAGTAAAGTCACATTAGGTCAAGACACTCCTACCTACTTTTCTTAACACTCAATGTGCATTTCCAAATCAATGAAGAGTGCAAGGACTCCAAAGCTGCTAGAGGCTAGATCGTTCCACAGTTCTGCTACCAAAGTGGTGGTGCTGAACAAATACATCAGTAAGCGTATCGAGGTCTACAACAGACCTCAAAATCTGCACAGTGGAAGACAACAAAACCAGGAGGAATGACACACTCCACCACGAGGTTTTTTCACAAAAAGCAGTGATGATTTGAATTGAAATAACACCGCAACCTGAAAACCTGACTTTGAGGTTGAGAAAGCAACCAGGCATTAAGGAGGGCACGAATGTTTCCCTGATATCTGGAGTATATGTTTACATAAGCAAAGCTGAAGAACGAAAAGAATCGTAGGGAATGGAACAAACCTATGTCTGCTACTTAAAGGACACGTGACTAACTAAGAGTGCCATGTCTGAACTAAATTTGCAGTTAACTGAA